CAATAGGGAAAGAAGGAGCTTAAGAGAGATTTGGATCATAAGAGACTGGTATTATCAAAGGAGAAATGGGGAAAATGGGGACCTTTTCAATGGGGAAACAATGGTGGAAGGGTTAAACAGTGAAAGAGAGAGATAAATAATGCCTAGCTAGTTTTAAAAATACAGGCAATCATATTAGCCCAACAACCTAATGACAAATTGTACATACATCATGTTTACATGAGTCTATGTGTATAGCTAAAGGCTACATAACAACAAACAGTACCAGACAAGAGAAACTTTCCTTTGAATATGTTGGCCAGGGTGGTCTAAGAGACTCTCAAAATTACTCAGGCTCTTGCCATAGCCCTTGACAGTCTCCCAGAACTTGAAGGGAAGACCCTACTGCTGAAGACAGGACATACTTCAGACACAGGATTTGGAGAAACAGAGCTGCAAATGACCTGAAACCACTGCCTCTGAAGGCTGGTTCTCATAGCTTTGAAGGTGCTATGAAGATGCCGAGGGAAAATATCAATCTATAGTCCAGCACCAGCTTTAAGACCAAATAACTACATCAGGGGCCACCACAGCCTACATTAGTGTAGTAGTGCTATTTTATCTGGGGGGCCATCAACGGCTACTTAACTGGACTAAAAGCCCACTAAATGGGAGGAAACTCAAATGTGTAAACATTTGTACTGTAAACATAACCAAATACACACTGCAAGAGTGGTCATAGACAAAACCCCACAATGTCACATCCCTAGACTAATGTGATTTCTTCCTATGTGCAAAATATATATCCTTATATTTACAGACAAATATCCCAGTCACCACTCATCAAAGAAGCTTATTTTGGACCAGTTGGAGACTATTACCAAGTACCACAACTGGTCACACATGGACATTGTCTATGAATTTCCCAGGCCTAAGTGACACATCTATAATGCAACCTCTACACCTAAGGTTCATGGAACATAGAACAGGGTAAAGAAGAGGACACTAATCTAATGAATCTTTCATTTCTCATTAATGAAGCTCCCTCAGGCAGCACAGGGCCAGGAATACAAAAGGCCACAAATGGCCAAAGTGTGGAGATCAAGAGTCTGCTGAATTCTGGTCCTTGGACAGGACTCGTTTAGTAAACTTCACCCACCCAAGGCTCAGATACCATCGTGCAAGAGGGGATGAAAAGATTGTAAGAGCCAGGGAGGATATGCAGGACCATAAGGAAACAGAGTCCTACAAGCTCCTGGGAATCTGCTCATATGATTCTACGACAATGTTATCAGGATACACAATTCCCATGTAAACCCAGGAAGACAAAAACCCAGCATAGAACTTGGAAAACGAACAGCAAACCCCAATCTTATATGAAGGAATGTTGGCAACTGATTGCTGCTAGATGAAGAAGAGCCAATCTTCCTAAAACAAGGGACTCTAAATAGGTTGACTAGACTTCGGTGGATGGACTTGACTGGGGAACGTCTGGAGACACTGACCTGACAGAGTGGGACTTAATAGAGATGACAGAGTGTATGGGTTCCAGTGGGGTTAGGGGGTATGGGAGGGTGCAGGAGGGGATGAGGGTATAAAGATGACTAAAACTAATTGAGATATTCTGTATTAAATCAACAAAAATTCAACAACTTTTAAAAAATGTGTTCCACAGATGCAATAATAAAAATAGATAAATAAATCTTTACATGCTGTAGGCACTGTCAGAATGTTGAAGGCAGTTTAGGAAGGGATAAATGAAAAGGCATGGAAGATACCATTTGATTATGGAAGATAAACTGGAAATGTTAAAGGTATCTTATTCTTTTAGTAATTATTTTCAATTTCATAAGTGAAATTGATTGTGGTAATGACTGGTATACAGCAATTATATTACTCTACATTCTATTTGCTTTAAAATAACACTTATCACTCACTTACATGCAGGCAATACATTCATACACATAAAATAAAAATACTAAAAATACTAAAAAGAATGATTTAAAAATATAAATAACACTTAAGAAAGATATTTAAGTTTTGCTCTAAAAAATACATGAACTTAATACACTGAAAATATATTCTTACTACTTAATTGAAATTTTATTTTATAGAGTTTTTTTCAATATTTACATTTTATAAGTATTAAAATTGTAAATTATGACTCAAATTAGAAAATATCAAATAAAGCAAAAGAAAAAGTCTGACACTTACAGGGGGGCCTTTTGGTCCGGGGAATCCAACTGGACCCTGTGGTCCTTGAGGGCCCTGAAAATAAAGAGCAGTGAGGAAAGTTTAACAATAAGCCTTCAAAGACAAATCTTCATACACTGTGATCAATCGTTATAGAGAAAACACAGTGTAGCATTCAATTTCCTCATCATAATGATGAGAGTATGGCAGTACACAAGATCAGAGCTAACCTAAAAGCAAAATGATTTGTAACTATGTAAACCTGAACATCACACCAAAGTTCTTATTTTAGGGGCAATATAAATATTTAGAGCTCATCAAAACAACTATCAACCCTAAATAAAACACTTACACCACCCCATTTAAGGTTCAGGGTGCTTTGATGAAGAGAAGGCAGGAAATCTGTTAGAACTGGAAGAAAGGGCGAAGGCTGTGAAATGCCTTATCGTCAATACAAGTGCAATCATTAACTTACAACAGCTATTTATCTGCACTGGGTCCAAACCACAGCAGCCCCCTCAACAATCAGTCATAAAAGACAGAGGTGCTCACAGGGTCCTATCTTTTCCTGCAGAACTACTGTCTGTTGACAGATTCTGAGGAAAGAGGAACCACGGTCTCTAGTTACACACCCACTGCTAAGGCCACTAGATTCCAACAGATAGTTCTAAAGCCCTGGTCACACAGACAGCCCTAGATAATCTCAGTGGGTCAGTCACAAAAGAGCTTTGGTCAGTGATGGTAGGGAAGACGGAGAAGGCTGGGATGAGAGTGGTCAGCGTCCTCTGTATACATGTGTGAAATTGTCTAACACAAAATTAATTCATTATTATACAATATTATACAGACAACCAGTGACAATATGTACTGAGAAGATTCAGAGTATTTGCAATTATAACATTGGATGGGAGCATTTATGGAAGGCATTTTCAATTTGGCTTTATAGATTTCCAAAGAAAATTATGATGGACTCCAAACGTCTGTCCCTAGAAATGTAGAACTAATGAGAATCATGTGATTATCTTTAAAGCATCACAGGAAATATCTTTAGCCATACCAAATAAGTTGCAGCATCATTTCTTACTTGTCAAATCTGTGCCTAATGCATTACTTTCTTTTGCAGACAAGATTAAAGGGACTTTATACTTTTTCTTATTAGCATTATGTCACAATATGCATTAACAATACCATTCCAGGCTTAATGCTATATATTCCTAGCTATATTGTTCAGATCCTTATTTACACATCCTGCATAAAGCTCATCCTGTTAATAATGACTGTTTGGGTGGCAGAAAATGGATTGGTAGAATATAATCCTGTATATGCCCAGCACATAATTATACTTTAAAAGGAAGATATATAAAAGTGAACATAATATATATGAAATGTCTTAAGTAATAAAATAAAGGCTGGACATATCTACTTTCTAATAAAAAATGAAGAACAAGTGTGTCCTTAACGGAATTTACTTTTCCAGTTATCAATATAGCCTTCAGAAGGAAAATTTCATAAATAATTTAAGCCAATGCTACTTCAGAAATAAGCACAAGGTTTAGCTATTCCTTTCTTTTTAAAATATTTTATTTTATGTGTATGAATACATTGTCTGCCTGTGTGTAAGTGCACCCATGTCATGCAATGCCTGCAGAGATGAGATGAGGGTACTGGATTCCTCTGGAACTAGAGTTAGCAGCCATGTGGGAGCTGGAAATTGAATCCAGGTCCTCTGCAGGAGCAGCCAGTACTCTCAACCACTGAGCCATTTCTCCAGCCCCTGCTTTAGCTATTTGAACATATTATCTTTAAATCAAAAAGAAACCTCAAAGAATTCATGTAGTTTAAAAAAAGCATCATGAATTGTCAATGCACTGGGCTAATATTAAGA